AAAAACTATTGTTATTTTCATAAACATAGCTTTAAAGTTATATAGGTTTTATTGTCAAATTAGAACATGTTGGTGTGACTCATTACCCTGATCGACACGAGCCTCTCCCCACAGAGTACATTATATTTTTATAGGGTAGCGTGACAAACGAGCACACATCCACCACCTGATGGTAAGTGGTTGCTGTGACCCATAGATATATACATTTATCCTCAATAATGAATCAATATGCAGATGCGTCGTCACCTGTGAGGACTAAGATGGATTGCCTCTTTTTCAGTAAAATGGGTTTCCGGTTCTCTACACTCACCATACGAAACACAGCAGTGTTAAGCTGCCATTTTACGCTGGTATTCTGTGAGAGCGTGGTCCTTCCCTGGTCGAGCCGACCCATTCGTGCTACAACTATACTACTAATATAGCTGCAGCATGACTCTACCACGTATAAGCTGCAGTATGGCACAACCACGTCTACCACGTATATGCAACCTCTCACATTACAGGGAGAATTTGCCTTAATCTCCATGCTTGACAGACAGATTAGTGATCGTAATACCAGACGTGTCACACCTCGAACGCTGCTCCTTAACGTTTTCCGTAAAGCCATACCGACCATGAGATCTGTCTAGAGATAGATATGTATAGAGCTCTGGGTCCGTCTATAATCTGTTAAAGGAAATAGGTTTGATTTAATGGATTGTTGTACGGTGCGACTAAATCTCAAAATACGTTAAGGTATCAAACTTTTATAACTTTCATAGAGGAAGATTTGAATAAGGTATTACAACAATAAAAACGCGTTAAGGTTAGTTGCTCTATGTTTTTATTCATGATTATATATCTTACACACACAGCAGCATCGTTCGTACTCCAAGCTTCGTTTTCGTATATAAATGCACTATCTATGAACATTTACGCATGTATAAATAGTATGAATCAATATGACATGCAAAAACATATTTTCGAAGCTAATATAGAAGACAGCGGTGATTCAATATTTTGTACGCAATTTCGGGCACTAAGCACCGTTAAATAACTTAAAATTAATTTATTACAATAAAGTTTTATTTTAAGTTGCATATTATAAACTGCATAAAATTATAGTAACTTTGTTACCTACCTTTGCAATAAATAGCATAATTTAAAAATGTTTATAAGGAATGTGCCGTTACTTAGACAGATGCACTTTCATACCTCGCGTCACTAAAGTATTTCAAAGACAAAATCTATTTCGAAATACAAATAACAATAAAGCGTAGACAGAGATTTGTCTACGCAATAAAGTTAAGAAAATAAATTAGTAAATCAGAGAGCTATAACTTAAGATATATACCACTTCAATAATAAATAGTGTGGTACAAGCTTAAAGAGTATTGTGATAATATGAATATATGCTATGAATATTTATTTACTCTTAGGCAAATAAATAATTATAAGAAATGTGAAATGAATGTTTAGTTGCCGGTACAATAATGATTGGATTAAAAATCAAAATATTTCTATGGCTGTTTTTATATTTTCCAAAATTTTTGTAAGCGTGGTAATAAATGTTATTTTTCATGTCCTGTCTATTTCAAAGTTAGCACATAAAGATTTTGTTTTTTTTTTTGTTATTTATTAGAATGTTCTGCCCTAAGATATACCTACAAGAGAATATGCATATCAGCACGCAAAATAAGCGGAAAGTAATCACTTTAAGTACCATAATATCGAATGTAATAATTGAAAGTGACACATCATTAGGAAACAAAATATAATTTATAAAAAATAAATTGTAATCACGTAGAAGTTTTAAATAATTTGTTATTCAGTTTAATATTCTATTTTATAACTTTATTGAAAATTGAAAATAGAAAACATCATTTACCTATTTTATTTGGTGGTAATACCAAACTTAATTTTAAGAAATTTTTAAGGATGACAGATCACAGAGATTAAAAAATGGAATTAATATGGATAGGTATTATGTACCTTGTTATTATCGCATCGAACGCATTGTGTAATATTTTAAATATACAGGGTTATTTTGCAATATACGCAGAGAAGGTTCAAAATAAGTATTATAGGCGAATGGTGAAAAAAAGTTAAAATTCTCAAACATTCTGTCCTTTTTCTCTTATAAATTCAGAATGCGTGGTAATGCATTATTTTATATATATATATATATTGGTAGTCATTCATAAATATCTAACGCCTACTATTTCACTATGCACGCACATATTCGTAGGGTTGCACGGTTGGCAAAACTTAGTGAGTTGAATCGCACAAAGACCAGCGCGCGTACCCGTAGGCGTTACCCATAAATCACATTCAATTTGGGATAATTTCAAATAAAAGCAGAAGCCTTATTTACTCGTATTTTAAAAAACTTCAAATTATTTATACATTTAAACTTATATATAAAATATGTATAAGTATTCTTGAAAAATAACCCTGTTTATTATAGATAATTATAATATTCACAATGTCAGATATGTTATGTCAGTATAAGTTACATTAAAAAGTTAAGAAAATCACATTTTTTGTTTTTTAGATAATATATCAGAAATATTTCTTAGAAAACATATTAGAAAGAGTTATTTACCATGTAGGTACTTAAATACATATAAAATATTTTCTAAGTTTATTAAATCGGTATATAAAATGGACGTATTAAAGTTATGTAGTAAATGAGTTAAATCTGCACAGATAATAAAACGTTTGAACACTTTCCAGTTTGTAAATGAATCACAACAACTACCAAAATTGTTGCGTTCTTTTTCTTTAGGCTGTCCTTTAATATAAAATGTAGGAGCTAATCAGGAGATTTTAATTAGTACAATAAATAGATATATTATAGTACACCATTATATTTAAGTTACCATAATAAAATTAAGAACTTATAAAGTACCGTCCACCTATGACATATGTTAAATCAGAAATTTTAATTTAATTAAATTTCGCTTTTGTTAAATGTGTTGACTGGCTGAGAATGCTAATTGGTTACCTTTATAGTTAGAACAATAGTTTTTAAATGTTTTGTTTTTATAGTGTAAAAACGTTACCCCCATACTAGGATTTTCTCCTGTATCGTGGAGACAGTTTACAAACATAAATTGCACGAGGACAAACATCCAGACCCGGAACAATTATTTGTAGGCCATACAAATACTTGTTCCGTGCGGGATTCGAACCCGCGGCCCCCAGCGCAACAACTCATTGCTAAGCCACTGCGCCACGGAGCCGTAAATATATAATATATATTGACGGCTATTATATATATTATATAAATAAATGAGAAAATATTACTAAAATGGACATTTTAATAACTACATATATTAATATTACTAGGTTGTCATCACACTAGCGCACTAGTGTACTACATTAGATATTTGATTGTATTTGACTACATACAACAATTACACGTCGGTATTATCAGTGAAATTTACTTGCGCTTGCTACTACCCGATTTAGAAAATTTTATTTAAATTTGGAATTTGATAATAACTTTTTTTTAATAATTTATATATATGAAATTAGGCACCTTCAAAAAAAGAGCCAACTTTTTTTTATAAGGCCGGCAACGCATCTGCAATTCCCCTGGTGTTGCAGTTGTTCATGGGCGTTAGTCGCTTACCATCAGGTGAGCCGCATGCACGTTTGCCCCTTCTCATATAAAAAAAACAGAGGTAGTCATAAGGACTGCAGACAGAAGAGAAAACTCAATGATATATGCGTATACACACACATGCACAGGCCATGCTCGTGACGTGAGCATGTCGAGGTTATCGGTGAAACGAACCCATAAGATTTTCCCCTACCAAAAATCGCTCAACGCAACTAAAGAAGTTTTCACTTCAAAAATATATATGAAATATATGTATATATTATATTTCAGTTACAACCAAATATGCTATTAGTTTTTTTCTGATAGGTAATAAAATATAGTGGTGTAGGTATTTTGTAGGTACGCAATTTGCACGACGATACAATAATGGATTATTATAATATTTATATATATAGTGCATCGGGTTAATCCTGAAATTGAGTAAATTTAGAATTCTTTAAAAGTCTTATATTTTAACCGACTTCAAGAAGGAGGAGGTACTCAGGCCTCATGTGGTCCCATATAAATTTGATCAAGGTCTGACCAATAGTGTTTGAGTTATCTTTAATAATTTATATTGAAGTCGGTTGTACAACATTTTTAATTTTATTTTTTTTTTCATTAATATCATAACCACAACAGCAAATACCCTGTTGGAGATAGATCCCCTTCAAGAAGCTTTTAAGCAAGACTTCCCACATTGGTCTTCACTCCATCTCGTGGAGTGGCCTAACACCTGCTTTTGTGAATACGAGACAGCAACTCAAAAATATTATAATACATCTGGAATTACGTAATACGAGTAATTAGTAAATCGCTCAGTGGTGCCTAAAATTCCAATTATGTTTATAAAAGTTATGACTGATTAATGCGATTCCTAATTCAAAGGATAATTAAGTTTTAATAATCAAAGGTATCAAATAAATCAAAAGTAATTAAAAGCAATATAAACCAATAGTAAAATAAATTTCCTTTGAGTAAACATCAAAAATTTTCTTTCTTCAATCGGAATTATCCCAATGCACCTTACTTACTAATATATTATGTTGATATATAATTATGTTTAATGAAAAAGCTTTACAGATTTTATCGCGTTTATTTTTAACTGGTGATTTTGAAGTTATTTATTTATTTGCTTTTTTACCACAGCAACCTGCGAAATATTTGATCGACGATAGTGGACATTGTCAATAGATTTTAAAAACATTAATAAAAATAAACGCACCAAAATCAATAAAATTGTATAAACGTTATTATAACATATCAATATCATTAAGAATTACATAAAAGTATTTCCCTCGACAGTTTCAGCTTTGATTAAAACCAAATCACAAAAAATACAGATTAATATTTAGATAGATATAGAACAATGATATTGTTATTGGTCCATTAATTATTATACATGCTTAAACATCTAATTAGTCAGTTTCTCGACAGAATCAACGTAAACACAAGAACAAAGTTTCTGCATGAACCTTAACAAGCAACCGGAGAAAGCGTGGTAGTTATCCGGTTTGTTCTTCCATTTAACACACAAATAATAAACAGGAATACCGGATAAGAGTATCGCTATACCTATAGCTGTATCTTTTGGATTAGTTATGGCGGGAATTATAACAAGACAGCCAATCGCGATTAGGAAAACGTAGGGTATGACAATGTTGACTTTAATTGGTCTAGGTATGTTAGGTTTCGCACGTCGCAGCCAAAGCATGCCTACAACAGACGCACCGACGGACAGCCACAGAGTTTGAGAGAAGTAGTTTATTAAATCGAACACGTTGCTCGTCGTCAGCATGAGAAGCGAGATCAGGCACTGGAATGAAAAACGTAAATATTAAGCATTTTCGTCAGGTCGCTCAAAGAGGAAAGAGGATGTATCAAAATATGGAGAGGACTATGCTCGAAGTTTCTATGCGTGATAGACTTCGTAATGAGGTATCCGCAGTAGAACCTGAACAATCGACATAGCATATCAGTAAGTTGAAGTGGTAATGGGTCGGACATAAGGTTATTGAGAGGTAAGCATAGTGTAGGGCGGCTAGAAGGTGTGACGACCTCGTAAGGCATACTAGTACATGAAGTAGATGGATTGGATGGATACAATAGGATCAGAACTTTTTTTGTAACTCCAATTCCCAAGGAATTATTAGATCTAGAATTATTGTATATGAAGGTGATGTTTATGGAGAAGGACTATGTTTTTGCATTAGAAATAGTCGTTTATTCCCATTTCGTTTTCATCAGGGGTTATATCGTCGGCGTCGATAGTCGTTGACTACAAGGTCACTAAGTCTTACCAGGTAGGATCAGATACCTTGACCCACATTTCTTTCAATTTTAATATAAAACGCGCTCAAAAAAAATAAAACAGTAATAAAAGTATATGAAAAACACACCAAGATAACTAAGCACCGATTTTTACCACAATAAAATGTAGAACAGTATGCTTCTGTTTTTATACATACATTTACGACCTAGTTCGCTAAGTAATTCAAATCAATGTACGCACCGTTCTACTTTTATTGTTTTAGTTTCGCTTTTCGTATTGAATTGGGAGAACTATCGCCGCGTTCCCTTTACGCCAAAAATAATATTACAATCTAAATAGGACTGCTGGGCCTCAGACCTCTGCATTTTGAATCCACACGTATAGGCAGACTTCACAAAGTGTCCTCAAAATTTTTTATTTCTTTGACATGACGGTCTCCTCATCCGCACAATATTTGTCAAATTAGCGCTTGCGGCGAAGTCGCCGGCGCCAATGAAATTGTAATTGCAATTTTTTCAAGTGTTGATTTACCACGTGCTCGGCGGTGAACGGCGGGAAACATTGTGAGGAAACCTGCATATCTGAGAAATAAAAAAATATTTCTCAAAGACATGGGAAGTTGGCCAACACGCATTTAGGCAGCGCGACGGACATTTCCTTGCCCTAAAATCCTCTCAGAAATGAGAGGAGGCCAATGCCCAGCAGTGGGACGTATGTAGGCTGTAACTTTAACTTTTATATATTATATTAAACATTTATTTTTACAATTCAATAACTATTGATATAATGAAATATGATTGTGTGTACTCATTTAGGTACAATTCAAAAACTTTAAAACAAGAACAGTACCGGCAATGAATCTCAATCATTCGTAAAAATTAGGGTTTATAGTATTTGAATGGTTATCCCGCCATTTACTGCTTATCATAGTTTGTTAATTAGGAGAAGTTTGAAGGATTATTTTCTGCATCGTGCTAGCGTTTTATATATTGCACAGAACAATTTTCTTGTCAGCAATATAATTTTCTTCCCGTACGGGATTCGAACCCGTGGCGTGCAGTGCAGCAGCCAAACAGGCGGCCGATGGACTGACTGTAAAAATTTTGAAGACAAGAAATTGTAAAGAAATTTCAAGTACTTGGTATATCATGTAACTATTATTTAATGTAGGCTATCGAGCACTAGATGGCAGTACAATCAGTTCTTATGGGGAAAGATAAAATATTCATACAAAAAAATTAAAATATTAACTTAACCGTGTAGTGGCGGTGTAAAAATATCTATTACACCATATCGTCCCGAGGGAGTCATAAGAGATAAGAGAAATTGAAACAGGAGATAGGCAGCAGCTTCTTCCTGATAACAAATAAAAAAAAAACTGCAGTTGCCAACCTGCCTGCCAAGCGTGGCAACTATGACAAATATCATATGAGGCAATCAATGGGGAGACCTGTGTTCAGCAGCGGACTACTGATAAACTGTAACAGTAATAAAACATTATCCAACAGAGGTATTTACTAAGTTGAGTATAGTTTTATCGAATTACTTGATTGATGTACTACGCACGTGGTACTTATATCGACCTACAACGTAAAACTTTCACTAATAGGCTGGCTATTATGGAAAGTTTTACCTAAATAAATTTCGTTTGATTTTTTATAGAAAAGACGAAATTATGCCACATCCGCAACACAACAGGAATTGTAGATGCGCTCCCGACCTATTTTCAAATGTATAAGTCTCTTTTCTGTAAGGTTCCTGAGTCATATCAGTTCAGATAAACAATTGACATTAGTGAATTTCACAAAATCGTCTAAACGCACACATCCATTAAGAATTGTATCGTGATGTTGTAGAAGAAATTTAGAATCGTGTGAACGAATGACTTTTTGCCATAATTAATTTAATATTTCTTTTTTTTTAATTTAAAATCAAAACTCACAGTAAAGATAAGCGACGGTATCGGTGTTTGTTTCTTTGTGTGGAACAACGAAAAGAAAGCGGGCATGTGGCCCTCTTGCGCTCCGGTGGCAAACAGTCTCGCCGATGTAAATAGAACTCCGTTCACACCACCGAATGTTGAAAGCGCCACGAACACTGGGATCATCCAACTCCAACTACCGAATAAACGATCTCCGAAAACCTGAAAATTTAACAAATTGTTTTTATAATTTTTTTTTAAATTAATAAATATATGAGCCCAAATATACACAGACCCCCCTAATAGATTGCCTCATAGGGGGATTTTTTTTATAGAATAATGTTGACAAACGAGCACACAGTCTGTATCTGTATCTGTATCTGATGGTGATCGGTGATGTGACCCAAAGACAACTGTATCTATCCTCGATTAAGAATCCAAAATGCAGATGCGTTGTCACCCCTGTGGACTAACAAGAAATGCTTCGTTTCCAGAAAAAAAAGTTCTCTGGTTTTATGCAGTTACCATACGGAACACAATAGCATTAAGTTGCTATTTTACGCTGGTATTCTGTGAGAGGGTGGTCCTTTCACGGTCAAGCCGACCCATTTTGTGCCGCAACTAAGATATAGCTGCAACGTGGCTCTATCAAACACGTATAGACAATTAAAATGAAAAAGGGATATTTTATACAAAAGGCATGTAACATAGTTGCAACTAAGGCATGCACCCGGGAATTATCGGTTCTTTTTTTATCTGAACAGAACCGTTTCTGCAGAGCGGTTTTCCCGGTTTTTCAAATAAATTAATTGTATCATGACTTCGTATAGTGTTACTTTTTAATTCTTCTTAACAAGTGTGCACGCACCGTTGCCAGTAATTTAAATGTAGATTATTTTATAAAAAAATATTTCAGAAATATACATTTCTAATTATAATTTTCATTCCAGTTTCAAGTTTCAAGTCTGATTTTGTAAGTATTTTATTCAGAGTTTCAAAAAATTGTACTATGTATCTCTTAAAGAAAAGATTTTATGTTGCATTTATTATACTTAGATTAATATATAGTTAGTTAATCTGAGTTATTTCCTTTTTAATTTTTATAAATGTTTACCTAGGTAGACTGGATTTTTTTAAATTAAATACTTGATTACTTTTTAATTTTTAATTTTAAATTTAAGCGTAAGTGTTTAAAAAAATTTGTAGGTACACACTAACCGACTGGCAAACAGTTTTCCAATAATAGCATTTGATTGAATAAGGAAAAATAACAACTTTAAAAATACACTAAGAACCAAGAAAAACCGGGTACCCCGGTTCCGAACCTGTTTCAATTTTTTTGAAAATTGAACTGGGTAAAAAAATGAGGAACCGGATCCGGTTCAGCAAGCCCTAGTAGTTGCAACGCTTGGCAAGCGGGTTGGTAATGATAGTATCAGAAAGACGCTGCTCCCCATCTCCTGTATCATTCCTCTTTGTTCCCTTTTACGACACCCATAAGATGATATCGCCTAATGCATATTATAAATATGAACTTTTACCGACGACTTGACTTGGTCACACATTAATAATTTAACATATTACGAGAAATGACCGGATGAAATTAATGCTAATCTTTCTTTTAATACAAGGTTTTTGTTTATTTTCGTACACTTAAGACGTAGGTAAACTATCTACCATAACTAAATTAATTAACTCTTAAACAAATATGATTTAAGTACCCATAACAATTATCATATAATTACTTTTTTTTATAGAATAGGGGGCAAACGAGCATGCGGCTCACCTGATGGTAAGTGACTACCGCCGCCCATGAACAACCGCAACATCAGGGGAATTGCAGATGCGTTGCCGACCTTTTAGAAAGGTGTAAGCTCTTTTCTTGAAGGTTCCTAAGTCGTATCGGTCCGGAAAATTCGCTGGTGGTAATTGATTCCACAAGGAAGTCGTGCGAGGGAGAAAACTTCTTCTAAATCGCACAGTGGTGGACCGCCAATCATCCAGATGGTATGGATGGTAACGCGAGTTTTGTCGCGATGTGCGATGGTGAAATTGAGCGGCTGGAATTAGTCCGAACAATTCCTCAGAGCACTCCCCGTGATAGAAGCGATAAAATACGCAAAGAGAGAAAGAACTGGGTTGTCGACGATTCGAACCGCCCTGCGCTGGATGCGGTCAAGTGGAAGGAGCTGGCACTGGGGTGCCCCGGCCCAGAGATGAGAACAGTATTCCATGTGAGGCCGAACTTGCGGTTTGTAGAGTTGCAAGCGATGTGCCGGCATGAAATACTAGTTTGCTGAGCACGCCAAGCTTTTTAGAGGCCAATTTGGCCTTCCCTTCCAAGTGACCACGAAACTGCACACTATTCGATATATCGACGCCAAGGATTCCGATACTGCCTGAGGCAGCAAGGGGAGTGCCTGAAACTGAGGAGATACGACAAAGGGGTTCTTTTTAGCGGTAAACGCGCAGACTTGTGTCTTCTGGGGATTGAACTGGACTAGATTTAGTTGGCCTCAATCCGAGACTTTGTTAAGCAAAGACACGACTTCAGACACAAGTTTGTCCCGGTACTCGGCGACGTTTTCCCGAGAAATATTGGCACGGCCAGTATATAAGGCATCACCAGTGCTGTCGTCTGCATAGCAATGAATGCTACCAGTTACCAACATATCATTGATATGCAGGAGAAACAGCGTTGGTGATAGCACGCAGCCTTGTGGAACACCAGCGTTGATAGGCTTGAAATCAGAGCATGCACCGTCTACTACGACCTTGATGCTCCGATCAGCAAGGAAACTGGTGATCCATTTGCACAATTTCTCGGGAAGCCCATAGGAAGGAAGCTTCGAAAGAAGCGCTTTGTGCCAGACCCGATCGAAGGCCTTCGCTATGTCCAAACTAACGGCCAATGCCTCTCCCTTGGACTCTACTGCCTCCGCCCATCTATGAGTCAGATAGACTAGAAGATCACCAGCTGATCGACCTCGACGAAAACCGTACTGGCGGTCACTAATCAGCTGGTGATCCTCAAGGTACCTCATGAGCTGGCAGTTTATAATGGATTCCATTATTTTGGAGAACAAGGAGGTGATGGCGATAGGCCTGTAGTTGGACGGGTCTGAGCGGTCGCCTTTTTTGGGGATCGGGTGGACCAAAGCTGTCTTCCATGAAGTCGGGACTACGCCTTGGGAGTAGGAGTACCGGAAAAGATGCGTTAAAACCGGTGCCAACTCCGGAGCACACGTCTTCGGCACAATGGGAGGGACTCCATCGGGCCCACTCGACTTGCTGACGTCCAGGGAGAAGAGTGCTTTCCAAACCGAGCGCTGTGTAAATCGCACATCCGGCATGGAGCACTCACATCGCGGGATGGTCGGCGGTGTGTTCCCCCCGTCATCTAGAGTCGAGTTGGACGCAAAAAGAGAGCTCAACAGATCGGCTTTCTCCTTTGCGGCATGGGCCAGTGAGTCGTCCTCTCTGTGCAGAGATGGAAGAGATGGCTGGCAGAAGTTCCCTTGGACAGCCTTGGCGAGAGACCAGAATGCACTGGTTCCCGAAGGAAGGCGACCTAGCTTCTCGCCAATTCTGCCGATGTGCTCAGACCTTGCCTGGGCAATGACGCTTTTGAAGGACCTGGAGGCGGAATTATACTTCTTTTTAAGTGCGCTGATGTTTACATCCCGAGACGTTGATGCGTCAGCCCAGGCCCGGTAGCACTCCTGCTTATAGCGTGATGCTATTTTACAGGAGCGACCAAACCATGGCTGAGATCTGCCTCCGATGGGCACCACAGAGGATGGAATAAAAAGTTCCATACCCTGAAGTACCACATCAGGAACAGAATCGGCAACAACGCTGGGATCTTCCGGCGAGAAGCAAACTCGTCCCCAAGGGTAGGATGCAAAAAAGACCGCATCCCGTCCCAATCAGCTGACCTATAGTGCCAAACACGGCGGCAAGTTGCAGATCGCAACTGCGATTGGAGCGTGAGTGGCACCGTACTCCGGATCAGAAAATGGTCCTAAGAGCCCAGAGGGGCATCGACAGAGACCTGATATCCGTCCGGATAAGAGGTCAGCAGAAGGTCCAACAGGGAAGGTACATGGTCTTCCAAATCTTGAATCCGCATAGGCGACGTAACCAGTTGTGTTAGACCATATGCCAAAGCAAAGTCATAGACAGATGTACCCGCATGATCGGTTAAACGAGAACCAAGCCATTCAGCGTGGTGGGCGTTGAAATCACCGAGTATCACGATCTCTGCGGATGGGACCTGTTGTAGCACGGAGTCTGCAGCCATTTGGACGTGGTCGATGAGTCGGTCTGTCTCGGCATTACCGCTATGGGATCTATAGAGGCACCCTTAGACGCGGGGATGGTCGTCGCTGTCTACGCGCAGCCATAGGATGGACAGGTCCGTACCTTCAAGACTGCCGAGGCGTCGAAAACAGATGTCCTCTCTGACGTATACGCAAACTCCAGCCCGGGGCATAAAGGAGTGTTCCAGTTTGTACCCCGGGTAGGAGAGATATGAAGTATCAGCCGAAGAGGACACCTGAGTCTCGGTTAAAAAGAGCAGGGCCGGCTTCGCCGTCTCTAGATGGTAATGGACAGCGTTAAGGTTGGAATGAAGTCCCCTGATGTTGCAAAAATTCACAAATAGCGTGACAGGGGTCGCTTTGGTAATATTGCTCCGCTTGCCCCGAGCCTCCGGGGCAGCCTGAGCACCCACGCTCAGGAGTCAAGTAGTTTGATCGTGGATGCTCAGCGAGGGATTCTCCAGGGGTGCTGGTACCCTCCTGGGGTAGTCTTTTATTTAATTCCACTACCATGTTGATGGGGGGGGGGGGGGGGGAATTGGGCCTCCGGCCACCTGCACTCACCAAGCGCAACGCAGAGGTAAATCTCTACTTCACGCTGGTATTCTGTGAGGTCGTGGTACCACCCCGGTTCGAGCTGGCCCATTCGTGCGACAGCACGTCACGTCAAGGTCGAGCAATTTTGTATTCTTAAAATGCCTCTATCACAACCATATTGCACTTCCTACTAATATTATAAACGTGAAAGTTTGTGAGGATGCATGGATGTAGGATGTTTGCTACTCTTCCACGCAAAAACTACTGAATGTATTTTAATGAAACGTTACAGTAATATAACTCATACATCAGAACAACACATAGGCTATAATTAATAAAGATATAGTGTAAATTGGTCAAAATATAACGATAAGTGTTAAGTAAGTCGGAAAATATCTGTCATCTGCGAGTTATTTATGCGTGCGGTGCAAGAACTGTAAGAGTTACACAAATATAATGTACAGTTGAATTGTTTGTCCTAAATAGTTCTACAAAAAAGTCCGCGACATATTTATATCTATCTTTTATATGAAAGCCATTATTACCAAAATAATTAACCATATACACAATAAAATGTGATACTTTATTTCCAATGCACATTTTGCAGTAACACTTTGATTTTATCAAAATAAATACTTTAATCGCTCTGATATTCAAAACTTTGTCTTTTAAACTACGTAATTTGGGCAAATTTTTTAAAAGTAACAACGATGTAAATTGTGCGGTCCGGCGCACGCAGGGTGGTCGGGCGTACTGCCGACGAGGTGGGGGAAAACATCACGCTTAAACCGCTGAACCGATTTAGATGAAATTTGGTATCAAGATAGTTTAAGTACCGGGAAAGGAAATAGCATAGCTTTGATTGCGGAAATTATCCCTAAAGAAGGTAATGGAGTTTACTATTAAAGTGCGATTATTGATGGATCACCTATGGTTTAAAGTAAAATATCTACGCGGACGAAGTCGCGAGCAAAAGTTAGTATACGATAATATGAATAGCCGTATATCAAGAAAACACTCTAATTAATCCATCATATATTTTCTAAATAAATCATTTTATATTACTACTTTGAAAAACACGGTTTAAAAAAAATTTAAGTGGACGTCCGGCTGTTGATTTTGTATGTGGTCACGTACAAAATATAATAACTCTAATACATAACTCCCGAAAAAATTGACGTATCCAGACCGGGTTTTCTTTATTAGCTTTAGAATTACATCAACTAGTTTCCTATTTCATATCAATAGCCTAGTATGTGTAGTCTATACAAATAAATAAAATTGAAGTGTCTGTTTGTAATGTCAAAATTACAGTTTTTTACTAAATGCATATGAAAGTAAATACGATACCTATAACTAAAATACAATTTTTAAAATTTTTGTCTGTCTGTCTGTCTGTCTGTCTGTCTGTTTGTTCCGGGTAATCTCCGAAACGGCTGGACCGATTTTGACGGGACTTTCACTGGCAGATAGCTGATTTCATAAGGAGTAACATAGGCTACTTTTTATTTTAAAAAAAGAATCAGGGTTCCGCGCAGAAACATAAAAACCCTAACACGCGAACGAAGTCGCGGGGAACAGCTAGTTTGTTAATAAAATTATTTGCAACTTTTATAAGTTTTTTTTGTTATTAAAAAATTAAAGGCACTGTCATATATCTTTTTAGCATTTGATAGACAATGCACAAATGTATAGTGCAGTCTATATAGATTTTATACTTTGTATAATCGATTTATTTTGGTAAATATAATTATAAAAAGAACATAATTAAAATAATAGAGCGCTAAATTTAATACACGTAAATAATATACTTTAAAAGTCAAGAATACAGTCTATTTTTTTCATCAAAATTAAACGAAACGCTCATGTGGCGTGTACTTTTGGATTTTCCAAACTATTTTGTATTAACGTTGACTACCGTAAGTACTTAGATGGAAAGTGATTGTAAATAACTTTCTCCTTTCACTAGTGCAATGACAAGAAGTGTTACGTTAGAGACACATACCTTTTATTTGTTGAAAGTGTTACTACTTACTTAAATCACTATTACTTTGAAACGATTAATGAGTGTTGTTAAATCGATCTTATTCTTGATCCAAACCAAAATCACAATGAATGATTTTTCAATCATCAGATGAAAGTTATTCATAGGTTAAAATACAACATAAACTGTTTAAAAATTACAGTTACATCTTTATATATAAAAATGACGTGTCACGTTTGTCCGCGACTCCTGGACTCCTAAACTACTGAACTGATTTTAATGAAATTTTGCACACTGTGTGCATTTTGGTCCAACTTGAGAGATGGGATAGTTCTTATCCCGCTAAATGACCCACAAAATTTTTTATTGCGAATTTAAGGATTTTTATAGGAAGGGTCGTTGGAAAGGGCAGAACAACGTCTGCCTGGCGAGCTAGTATTATATAAAATATTTTTTAAATCTCATAATGTTAAGTCCAAACTATGATTTTCTTCTGTATCTGAGGGCAGTTTGCACACATAAAGTTCTTGTACCGTGCGGAATTCGAACACGCGACGATTAGCGCTGCAGCTCATTTCAGTTAATTCAGTTAAATTATTCATATTTTTATTCTATAATGTTATAATTTATTAAATGGAAATCTTTTATTTGGTGATTGAAAAATCGGCCATAAATAGTATAAACTAAGTCTCTTTACTGCATTTGGCTGTGTATTTCCATAAAACTTAAAAAAAGCTTGATAGATCTTAATACAGTTTTAATTTAATTTAAAGAATTTCGTGAGAAAGAAAAGAAAAAAAATCATTTATAATACATAATATAATACATATGAGAAATGTTAGCGTTTTGTAAACAACAGGCTTACTTCTGAAATTGTTTTAGAAATCGAATTCGGTTTAAAACTGTTTTAAAAGCTTACTACCTAAAAAAAAAATCGAATTGGAAATACGATCGAGTTATGATCAAGCGTTAGCAGCGCCGTAAGACACAATTGGATATTTTGTTACCTGGGGATCATTTATAATAAAATATTGTTATCATATAAATACGACAAACATAACAAGAAAGAGCATTCTTGTCGCTTGCGGTTACGAGTACCATGTAGCGACGGACATCTAATGACTTCCGTGCTGATAATTTCAGTTTGAACTTCTTGTACTGTTATTTATTCTGTGGTTTGAACCACTATTTGATTCTACTGGTTTCTAAAGTACGAAATTACCTTGAGTTCGAATAAAATTCGATTAATTTTGAACTCGATTCTATCGGGAGTAGGCTGATAAGTAATTAAAGATATCTTAAGTATGATTAGGTTCAATTACTACAATAAATTAACAGAAATATTTAAACAAGACATTTGGCACGCTTATCACTATTTAACAACATCCAAAAGAGCTTATATAAACATGATTGTTATGATAATAACGTTTTTCTGGATATCTCATACTGTTAGGTTATAGTTTAAGGCCAACGAGAAACATCTTTTTCATTATATAATAGATTTTTAGAACTAAAATGTAAAACATTTAATGAAGGATTATTGCGTTAGGCCCGCCACATACATACGGAATTCCGTTTCGGGATTCCGTTTCGGAATTCCAAACATACGAAATCCCGTTTTGCCCGCAAAATTTCGAACGGAAAACTATCGTACGTGTGTGACGGGTCACAGATTTTATATGAATTTGCTGCGTTCGGAATTCCGAATCGGAATATCGAAACGGAATTCCGAAACGGAATTCCGTATGTATGTGGCCGGCCTTATAGAAGAAATCTGAAAAACAATTGAGATTGCGATCCTATCCCTAATCTTCTGTTTTTGAGTTAACGATGTACCTCAAACCATGTTGTTGGTTTCAAGTAATGATTTTAGATGTAAATTTTGGTGTGCGTTCTTACAATAAGTTGAGCTAGTTTCGGCGTAACTTAAAATTTACGTAGTGTTCTGTCCATTTTTCTCTATTGGTCCGAGATCGTAGTGGAAACTTACTAAAAATTACCACTGTTTGGACCATTCCACTTCAGTCAGTTTAACGTGGTAGAGCCATGCTGCAGCTATATTAGTAGTATAGTTGTAGCACGAACCGGTCGGCTCGACCGGGGAAGGACCGCGCTCTCACAGAATACCAGCGTAAAATAGCAGCTTAACACTGCTGTGTTTCGTATGGTGAGTGTAGAGAACCGGAGACCCTTTTTACTCGAAAAGAGGCATTCCATCTTAGTCCTCACGGGTGACAACGCATCTGCATTTTGATTCGCAAACGAGGATAAATACAGATGTCTATGGGCCACAGCAACCACTTACCATCGGGTGGACTGTGTGCTCGTTTGTCACCCTATACTATAAAAAAAGTCTTTAAATGTTTTACGGACGAAAAATTGGATATTTAAGTAATAAATGATTATTAACACTTACAGCAGCCACTGCAGGATTCGACATCATTTCCATCTTGGATACGACTGCGAAGTAAGCCAAGTTCGCCATTACATAGATGATCGTCACCATGGGCATCGCGATCCAAATAGCTCGTGGCAAATTTCTGTGAAATCAAAAATACACTATGATTCTATTGAAGATGATCAATATACGAGTTTTGGCGGGAACTTGACTGGCGGTGGTTTGCTGCTCCCGTATTATTGTTTAAATAATGGTTTGAAGTGGACTTTGATATGTAAAAGTGGTGCGATTTTGTGTATTAAGTGTCTGCGCATGTGAACTATTAGTGGAAACTGTGAAACAAGTGCTCTGATGGTGATATGATTTTCAAAATAAGGTCTGTCTGTTTAGGCGCCTTGAGATACCATCGCCAACCGTCAGCTGTCTGCTGGCTCAAGTTGCCGTCAAAATCTCCCAAGGGCTGCACAATGTGACGATGTGAAGCAGTATACTATGAAGGATATTATAATATATTGTAACTTCAGGCTCAGAAGGGCTAGATCCCAGAGCCGTAAAGCCAGTTATTAAGAAGAATATGATCAATATACAGTTGAAAATACAGCTGGGTCTTAAATATATCAATATAAGGGTTAAAACACTCTTAACAGCCGCTTAGATCATGAACTGTTGAAGTTTCAGTGAGAATGAGATGATAACTCAGACGCCTAGAAGCGAGTGAGTTATAGAGAAACCCAATAGTTCAAACAGTAATTAAAAAATCCCGACTACGTAAAAAAGTTTACTGAACAGAGAAAATTTTATACCCTGTATCGTGTATATACGTAATACATGCTCATCGGTTAAGGGTACTCTTAACTTTACCCATCTTCAATGCATCCCCTTGTAATTTGGTTGATAAGCTTCCGTCTAGGTCGTCCCTTGACAACTTTGCCACTCGTTTCTGCAGTATAACTACTCGTACCACTACCACAGATTAAATAATGTTACCAAGTAACTAGTAGTAGTTACTTAGTAACATTATTTATAGTACGTGAGGGTAATCCGGTCATCCGGTTAATACGGTGACTTTCTTATAACTCAAAAACTACAGCCTTATTTGCATAGATGGCTTTGTGATACGATAGCTCTTCATCAGTCATTCAAATAATAAACGGTCAAATGGGCGCCGCTTCATCGACGTCATTTTGACAGTTGATATCATAGTAAATATTTTATTCGATTTTAAGTTGTTAGTTTCAGGGGGTTTTCATGCTGGTCTACCTTTCCGGTGATCCTGTTATGGAATACGGGTACGCGACCCCGGCTCCCCGAGCTACTGTTATTCTCATACCTTTCCTGCCGAGATAACAGTATCCTTACACCTATGCTCCTACCCCCAAACTTCCTTTTCCTTTTCCCAAAATGGTAGCTTCCTCTACCAGCAATAGCATACCCAAAGAGGGTTGGTGTCAGGCAGGCGGCCGACTGTAAAACTTTTGCCAAATCCCATGCAGTAAATGAATAGTACGAGTTGTGGGACATATGACAGGGCTAGGGCGTACCCCGCAGGCGACGCGCAGGGGCAGCACCCGGCTCCTGTGGGAAGTGGGCAAGGGTTGTCGCACCTTACGGAGCGGGTGCGACGTAAGAGGCGAGCCCGGAGAGAGAAGAATGTCAGAGTGAGGTTTGCAAGCTGGAATATAGGTACGATGACTGGAAGAGGAAGAGAGTTAGCAGATGTTTTGAAACGACGAAGAGTGAATGTTGCCTGTTTGCAGGAAACAAAATGGAAGGGCAATAAAGCAAGAGACATTGGGGAGGGATACAAGTTTTATTATTGTGGAAGTGATGGGAAGCGAAATGGAGTAGGAGTTGTGTTAGATAGTGGAATGAAAGAACGAGTGACAGATGTGAAAAGAGTAAATGACAGAATGATAGTTGTTAAATTAATGATTGAAAACAAAGTAGTGAATGTTGTAAGTGTGTATGCTCCGCAAACAGGCTGTGAAGAGAGTGTGAAAGAGAAGTTTTGGGAGGAATTTGATTGTATGATGATGGGAATACCTGAGCGTGAGGATGTTTATATGGGAGGAGATTTTAATGGACATGTAGGGAGAGTGAATGACGGGTATGAAAGAGTACACGGTGGATGGGGGTACGGAGTGCGGAACCGTGAGGGGGAAGTTCTTCTGCAAGCAGCATGTGCTTTCGACCTGGCTGTAGTAAACACGTGGTTCCAAAAACGAGATCAGCATCTTGTTACTTATAAAAGTGGCCACCACTCGACACAGATCGACTATCTTCTGATAAGACGGAACCAAATCAAGAGTGTAAAAAACTGCAAAGTGCTTCCAGGTGAAGACTTAGTATCCCAGCACCGAATTCTGCTGGCTGACATCTGCTTAACTGTTCGCCTCAACAAACATAAGGATCGTCCCCCACCCAAAATAAAGTGGCATTTGTTGCATAAGGAGGGGTATGCAAGTGAATTTAGAGAGCTAGTTGTAAACAAGATGACAGAGATGGGTGATATGGAAGGAATGAGTGTGAATGAGTGCTGGAAGGAAATGGCTGATTGTATCCGAAGTGTGGCAAGGAAGGTGTTAGGAGAAACAAAAGGGAAGCGTATGATAGATAATGATGGGTGGTGGTGGAGTGAAAGTATTAGAGAAGTTTTGAGAGAAAAGAAAAATGCCTTTAAAGAATGGCAGAGCGTAGAAGACCAGAATGAATCCATAAAAGAAAGTAAGAGAGGGGCGTATAAAGAATGTAAGAAGAGAGCGAAGAAGGAAGTTGCTATTTGTAGGGCAGAGGCGCACGATAAATTATATCGGTCCCTTGAAAGCCCCGAAGGTCAAAAACGACTTTTTCAAATTGCAAGAGCGAGAGAAAGGAATGGAAGAGATGTTTCACATGTAAAATGTATAAAAGATGATTCTGGAAGGATTTTGACTGACGATGAAAGTATAAAGAAGCGATGGAAGGAGTATTTTGAGAAATTGATGAATGAGGAGAATGAATGGAATGGTATGCTTGAAACCCACCAGTGAATATGGGCTTAGTGAGAGAAATTAGTGTGGAAGAAGTAAAAATGGCTGTTAGGAATATGAAGAATGGGAAGGCGGTCGGCCCAGATGGAATACCAGTAGAAGTGTGGAAGTTGCTGAGGGTGGATGGATGGAAGTGGTTGAGTTTATTTTTCGGTAAATTGTTGCAGGAAGAACAAATACCTGAGGAATGGTGCAGTAGTATACTGGTTCCCATTTTTAAAAACAAAGGAGACGTTCAAAACTGCAGCAGTTACCGGGGAATAAAGCTCATGTCACATACGATGAAAGTCTGGGAAAGAATAATAGAGAGAAGAATGAGAGAAGAGTGTGAGATAACACAAAACCAGTTCGGATTCATGCCCGGTCGAGGTACGACAGATGCCATTTTCGCATTACGCCAATTGTGCGAAAAGTACAAGCGCGTGCATAAAGATCTGCACATGGTTTTTGTCGACCTTGAAAAGGCGTACGATCGGGTTCCCCGTGAGGTCTTGTGGTGGGCGTTAAAGATGAAAGGTATGCCTGGGAAGTATGTGAGGTTGGTCCGTGCTATGTACAGAGCATCCCGTACATGTGTACGATCTGCCGCGGGAACTACGGGCAGTATCGATGTGGCGGTAGGGCTGCACCAAGGGTCGGCACTGAGCCCTTACCTCTTCCTACTGATTATGGACGCTCTGACGTCGGACCTGCAGGATGAGGCACCCTGGTGCATGCTCTTTGCCGATGACATCGTGCTTGTCGGGGAAGAAGGCATCGAGGTGCAGAGCAGACTGACGGGGTGGCAACGGAGGCTGGAAAGTGTTGACTTGAAGATCAGCAGATCCAAAACCGAATATCTGTGCTGTGATTTCGGCGGTCTTTCCAGTCCTGTACCCATGTCGTTGGATGGCGCTATACTGCCTATCTGCTCAGATGTCAAGTACCTCGGTTCCCTCATTCAAGGCGACGGCGGAATAGATAGAGCTGTGCAGCATAGGATTAACGCAGGGTGGATGAAATGGCGACAGGTCACAGCCACAACGTGCGATCCCCGAATGCCAATAAGGCTGAAGGGGAAAATTTACAAATCGATCATCTGACCTGTCGTCATGTATGGAAGTGAATGCTGGGCCGTCAAGAAGAAGGATGAAAATAGACTGCATGCGAATGAAATGAGAATGTTACGATGGATGTGTGGTGTGACAAGGATGGATAAGATAAGGAATGAGTATATAAGAGGAAGCCTGAAAGTAGCGCCAGTGGTAGAAAAGGTGAGAGGAAGCAGATTGGCATGGTTTGGGCATGTGATGCGGAGGAATGAAAGTCATGTCACAAAACGAGTGTTGAATATGAATGTGGAGGGACACACGGGCAGAGGAAGGCCGAATAAAAGATGGATCGATTGTGTGAAGAGTGATATGAGAATGAAAGGAGTAAGTATGGAAATGACGGCTGATAGAGAGGAATGGAACAAAAAGATTTACTGCGCCGACCCCAGATAATGGAAAATGGTTTAAAGAATGATGATTTAAGTTGTTAGTTCATAAGATGATTTTCGAAGTGTTCCTAATTATTGCCAAGACTTGTTTGCTATTTTTTCTTAATATATAAGTTATAGTGTACCATATTGTATATTTGTCTCTGTCCTTCTCTTAGTTTTAGTTTTATAGGGCGGCAAAGCTTAAGGTGACCATATTACCCTTACGTACCTTACTCTTTATATGATAACATAATTATTAATTAGCAACATTATACTGCTATAACTTGCAAAAATTTACAATCTTTCTAAAATAAGTTTAGTGATCAAGATGTTTTTTTTTTAATTTTCATTATTCCTGTCATCATAGCCGTACCGAAGTTGATAAATAAATAATTCATGCAATAGTGTGAGTGGATTCAGGAAAATAAAACGATTCCGTATATTTAATGAAGCTTGAACTGTATCCTATATAAACAGGTTTGCGGGAAAAATCATTGGATAAAATAAAATGTGCTAAATAATTCATTAGCCCCTGGGGACCTAAAGTAACCTAAATATTAGAACAGCTGAAGACATGATAAATATCGTTTATTGTGAAATTGAAAAAAGAAGAAAAGAAATTAAAAATTAACAACTGTTTATACTTTCTTT